CTGCCCGAACCGGTACGATTACTCTACGACGTTTAATCACATGTGACAAAAAACAACCCAAGTCTTTGCCCAAGTTATCGAAAATGGGTAAACAACTCACCCAAAAGTGCCTTGTCCAATCTTAGCCAGCTTTTCATACTTCGATTCGTCGGGGCAGAAAGGGTAGTAGCCTTCTTCTCCAGCCTTTGGCATTTTGAAACGGTCTGCTATAAGAGTTAAAACAAATAAAACAGTAGTAAAATCCCGTCAGTATACACACAAACAAGGGGAAACCCCTTCGCGATAAGCAGAGTGAGAGTGACCGGAAGTGAATTGTTCATGCCAGATATTTTTCACAATAGCGACAGCAACAATAGCAATAACATCAATTATTTATTACAGTATTTGGGTAAACTTGCTTTCTAACTAAATGATCAAGCCATGATTAGATGAAAGCTTACTTTCAGCAGCTCTTTCAGCTTATCAAATATCTTGTCATCTAAATTAGAAAGTTTTCACCATAATATTATTACCATTTCAACTTGGCAAGTCAATATCATTACGTTAACGTTGCTTGAGCGCACTCTAGGAAACAAAAACACTAAATTTTAATTATAACATCAAAAGAGTACTGTAAACTCGCAAGTCATCTTGAACAACGCACGTACGTGCCTATAATCAAAATTACCCAATTTTAATTAGGTTTTGTACTCATTTTATATACTTTTTTCTAGTAGTATTTTGCATGCTTCATTTGTGCTGCAAATCAATAGTTATTGAGTTATTGATGTTTGAAAAAAGTAATATTTGACTTGAATTAACAACGGTTCCCCCTTGACCTAGGCTTTCTCTCTTTCTCTCTCTCTCTCTCTCTCTCTCTCTCTCTCTTTCTCTCTCTCTCTCTCCATTTCTCTTTTCTCCCTCTGCTCTCACGCACACTTACGCATATAGGCCTACCCACTCCATGGCCATGGAACAAACAAACACACACATGCACACTTTAACACGCATGGTGATTGTGATCACCTGCATCTCTGTTGACATTCCACGCCCTGAGGGCTTAATTGTGCCATAGGCCCCTCACCCTTTACCTTTATAGACTCATGCTAGTGCAACTACATAATTATGTGAACTGGCCTTCCGACCTCTCTCGACCCTGCACGATGTGCTAAGACACGTCATGTTTTACGCGTATGTGTCAACGACGCACGTGCTGCATGCTAGTGTTGAAGAAGGCCTCTGCAATTGGTCGCATTTGATATATATAGGTCTACACAATAGACTCAGGGTGTAATCCACAGTGCATGCGTGATTGACTCTTGGAATAGAGTTTTGAAATATTTCATTACGGGAGAAAAATGCGCGAATAATTAATTAGCCCCAACAGCAGGGGCTGTTCGCCCAACAATTAACAGCTTTCTGTTCCGTTGAATCCATGTTTGCTCATGTACACATCGTTTAATCCAAGTTATTCTTGTTTGATTTTAATGATTTAGAAAAAGGGTTATCAGACTTTTTTCATTAAATTCGAATTTGTTTTATCCGAATTTTCATCATCATCATCCAGTGCCAGGTCTGCGACAGACATCGGGGATCATAATTTTTCCATTCATTCCTTTGCTCGGATGCTCTCAGAAAAGCTACGTTTCCCTGATTTTTCCCTGTTACCCATTTAATTTTGTTTAGGTTCCCTAAGTATGTTGTTCTGGGCCTACCCCTGCCTCGCTTGCCTTCAATTTTGCCAGTGAGAGCTAGATGTTCAAGACCCTTATGTCTATTCGGGTGTCCCAAAAACTGCATTTGTCGTTTCCTGATTGTTTTTAACATTGAGCGTCCCACGTGGGCTTCATCAAGCACTACCTCATTTGATTTTTTTCCTTCCACGATACTCTTAGCAGTCTCCTAAGAAACCACATTTCTGTTGCCTCTATTTTATTTTCACTGTCTTTAGTGATTGTCCAGCATTCACAGCCATATAGAAGGGTTGACCAAACATAGCATTTCAGGTCTTTCATTTTGGTGTTCATTGATAATATGTTTCTATTTTTCAGGATTGGGCTCATTTTATTGAAACTAGCCTTAGCCATTGCAGTTCTCCTTTTTATTTCTGTGGAAGATTTGGCATCAGATGTTATCATATATATCCTAGATATTTAAACTGTTGGACTTGTTTGATCTTTTCACCTTTGCTAATGAGATTACAACTAGGATTTGCTGCTTTTTTGGATATTACCATGCATTCTGTGTTCTTTACATTCAACAGTAATCCTTTATGTTCCCTTTCTTTTACAACAGTATCTAGAAGCATTTGAAGGTCCTTTTCGGAGCCTGCTATTATTTATACTATTACCGCCATAATTTGCCATTGACACAATTATTAGGTAGATAATATCAATGAGAAGATGGGCTTCCGACACTGATAAAATGTTAGGGCCAACCGGGCTAAGAGGAATACAATATACTGACAGAAATACCAAGCTTCAAAAATGAAAATTTACTCTTCTTGGGACTCGAACTCGGGTCTCCTGCTTACGAAAGCAAGAGCATAACCGAAATTAACATCTCTGACACCATACGCAATAATTTTAAGCGTTTTATTTTCGACGATATTCACCAAAAGAATTTTCGTCTTAGTCTCTGTTAGAACTACGTACAACAGGATTACTGCAGTCTACAAAATAATATAAGGTCATTTGACCTCAAAAACTGTCATCATCATAATAGATCTAATATGTGATTGTCGTTGGTAGTAATGGAGAGGTTTTCTAGCTAAATATTATATTGCGCTCTGTGCGCATGGAACGCACAACAACTAACAGGGTATGAAATATAAATAAACAGAGTAGCTTCCCTTCCAATTCTATCAAAATGTCGCTCTACAGCAGAATGATTCGGTGGAGGGCATGCCAGTCGGTTAAGTCATGTAAGTATTGAAAGCTTGAATATAATTTCAAGTGAAGAGTTAGTATGCAAAGGTGTTGGTAGCTCTCAATTATATTTTGAGTAGTGCCATTGTTCAGGCAAGCACTTGATGACAATCTTTCCACCCCCTTGATTTTGGTCGTTCGTCATTCAGGTCAAGTTCTGACTGAGAAAGTTCAGTTGTTTTGACTTTCACTTTCATTCTATAGCCCACTTTCAACAAATTAATTATCGAAATAAGGAATTAGGGTTGTTTGTGTGTGACTATCGTCCTCGTGACGTCGTTTCATTTATATAATATTTTAACCAATCAGAAGCCGGTGTAGTGTGCTCTCGTTAGCTCCATGTTACTTTCTTGATGCTTTTTTGGTAGTTCCCACCCCCCTTATATTTTGAACCTGACCTACATCGAGATCTGTACGTTTGATGCGAGCTAAGATATCAAACCTAACAACTGCAAAACATCAAATTATGGTAAAATTCAGGGGGGCATGCCCCCCTGAAACCCCCCACCACATTTTTATTAGGACAGGGGGGCAAGCTCCCTTGAAACCCCCCTTTCTTGAGGCCAAAACCGCCGAATAACAATTTCGGGGTGGGAACTACCAAAAAAGCGCCACTTTCTCTCCTACTCAGTTTATCAGTTTTCTACGTCCTCATCCTTCGACTGCCAACAACTGACTGACTTCTCTTATCGAGTTTTTCAGTCATCACGATCGTGCCACCATGCCCTTTGACCCACGACCCTGACACCTTGAGGCTAATTGGTCAATTTAATCACGTGGTCCACTATTCTTATTTGCTCGTGACTCTGCTAGACTAGGCCTTTGCCTACTCCTGGTCCGGCAAAGTACAATGGCAAGAGATGCGCATGAAAGCTCATTTGCATAATTGCAACCCCCTCGGCCCTGTTCGCGACTTGGCGAGTGCTGCAAAGCAAGGCTTGGCCTGTTCCAACTCCAATTAGATCTACCCTGATTGTCCTCTTAGCTCCATGGTCCACTCATGTTACTGTTTATGTGTGGGAAGCCTTATGTGTGTGTGTACCTCTGAAACCCCCCGCTGTTATGTTAATTAATGTAAAAACACGATTGTCCGCTCATGTTTTTGCACTTGTGTGTTTTCTTTATTATTGTTTCCAGGGGGGCTAACTGCCCCCCCCCCCCCCCCTACACACACACTTGACACACACACACACGGTGCTCCACCAAAGTTAAATGGCTGCTCTTATTGGCCCACATGGCAAATAAGCTGGGGCTTATTGGCCCACATGGGCCATTTAATGCATTCTTTTTTCAATGTATTTCATACATGGTGTAGTCCCAACTTGTTCTCTTTTATTTTTTCTCACTTTATCCCTTTTTGTTAATGTTTTCCTGAGGCATTCCATCTGACACACATTTCTACAGATTTGATTGTTTGTCAGCATGTTCCTGCAGTTCATTGTTATTGTTATGCAGTAGACTTTGATCATCTGCGAACAGTATTTCATTTAGAATTTAGGTTCTCCGGATGTGAGCTTGCTTCTTTCGTCAAACAATATATTACGGTATAATTGAGTTATTTCTTTGTTTACTCTATGTATACTGTGTTGGATAACAAGATGAAGATGGGTAGCTTCTTAGACTCTATTGTTAATCTTTTTATTTTTAACATTAGATTGGAAAACTATACATTCTCAATTAAAAATATATGATTGACGGACTTTGTGGATTGTGGGGGGGGGGGGGGGGGGGGGGAGAGACCAGATACAGGGGAGAAAACTCGCAATTTTGTGGGCAAATAAGAAATGTTCTAGGGGAAATCATATATATCATTATATGCCCCTGTGGGCCAATAAGCACTCCGAAGTTAAATAGTTAAATCCCCTACCCACCCTCAACCACCGCCTCTCGTTCACCTCGCCTCGCCGCTGGCTTCCGCTGTGCGCGAAGTCGCCCGCGGAACTACGTTTTGTCCTCACGTAGAGAACTATGAATGTGTAGTTAGGCTAGGCGTGCGTAGTAATCACGGGCCCAGACGGGTGGTCTAGTAAAATAAATCTGATTTTGGCCCCAAGAGACCCACTTGTAGCCAATTAACACCAGTGCAAAGTGCCACCTTCCACTCCCCCTCACCACCACCCTGTCTTTTTTCTTCACTGCCTAAAACTTTTTGGCAAAAAAGTGGTGGTAATCTTAGCAATCTATATCTCTGAAACTTTGGCCATTTGTTTCAAAATCGTCTTGTTTTTCTTCTTTCAGGTTGTTCTTTGCACAAGACAGCTTTATCGAGAGCAAAAGTCAATTTGGAACAAGTTGCAAGGTTTTCAGGCAGCAAGTTAGTGTGCAACCAACAAGGTAATTTTTTTGTGGGTTTTTTTTCTATCGTTGATGTAGGACTCTTTTTCTTTTTTGCATTTTTTTTTAATTTGCAAGGGGGTGGTGGGGTGGTGGAATGGAGATGAAAGCAGATGATTGAACTTGAGTAGAGAACAGGAAAAGAGGTGAAAGGAGGAAATTTTTTCTTCTATTCCGTCTGGGGTTTCGAATCCAAGACCTTTGGAATGAGAGGCGAAAACCTACTTCTAGAGCACAAGAGCCCTCGTTGTAGGACTGATATTCGATGTAAGATTTTGAAAAGAAATTGACACTGAAAGATCTCAATATTAAAAAAAAAACTGAGTTCTCAAGCTGAGCAGAAAGACTCAAATTTTGCAGAAAAGGGAAACTAAAGGCTAAAGGAAGCTTGAACACCCCATTTGGAATTTACTTGACCTATGCAGGTCGGGAGTTACTGTCGGATTGGTGCTACTCTTGTTCAACATGAAATCACTGGGTGTGATTGTTGTTAATGTGCCCACTGGAGGGGATAGGGTTAAATGTGGTACCCTTTGGGCATAGGGGATTGGGTCTGGTCGGGGCCGTTTTCTGGCCAGATTAAGGACGGAAAACGGCTATCGTGGCGCAAGCCGACACGCCCGACTCGTCGCCTTAAAAGCAAAAGCGACCCGACCCGACCTGACCCGATCCCATTTGCAATCGGCACCCCGTATTACGCTTCACTTTTGCCACTGAAAACATTGAAACTTTTTGAGAGGGTAGTATCAAAAGAAATATTCCAAGTCTCATGATTTTCCAAACTAGACATCACTGAGCCAGTGACACCTGCCTGTTAAGACTCCGCTCCCTGCCTGCAGATACCATGCAGGTCTTTTTCTTGTTGTATGCAAGAGGTTCACACTGATACTGATAGCTCTTGGATTTTGTCATTTTCAAGGTCTGTTGCACTGGTTTGCAGTGATGTGGGTAGTTTAGTGGTAGGTATACTTCTGTTGGAGATTTAAGTTGGTGGTAGGTACATTTCTCAAATTTCTGATGGAGATTAAAGTTGGTGGTAGGTACATTTCTGTTATATACATTAAAGTTTTCAGTCACACACCCCTACCCCCCCCGAAGCACTCTTTAAAATAACTCTACAGCTTTGACCTGGAATGAAACCTTCTGGTTTTTGTGCCTTAATTATGTATTACTTTAATTTTCTGTTCATTTCTCTCAGAGGTGGAGGCACCAACTCCCATGAGAGGGGAAGAGACTGAGTCTGTAGCAGACACTGCTCTGCAACACGACGACTATTTTGGGCTAAAAAATCTTGTCACAGTCAGAGATTTATTTGAGGTGAGTTGTGTAGAGTTTTGTTGTCAGTTTTGCTCCCCTTTCAACAGAGTGCAGGCTTGTCTGAAAGCATGATCCTTTGAATTAAAAAATGTCTCCAATAAAAAGCGGAGAGCATTTAGAATACTGTATAAGCAAGGCTTTACAATCCTAAAGTTCGGCCTGCAAACAAGCCATTTTTATGCTATTAAACATTCACCTTTTGGAGGAGATAAAGGATGATCACTCTTCAGATGGCAATCTGTGTGGCTACACTTCTTAAGCTTTGCTGCCAGATACTTCCTGTGAGACAGCCCTAAACAGGACAATTTTTAAAATACAGTTACTGCCATCAAACCCAGACATCTTGAATGCATTTTACAGAGACAGAAAACAGTTCAGACAAACCTACACCTAGTGGTCCCTAGCGAACCGTTGAGGAGTAGAAATTCAGACAGCTGGATCACGAAAGCTGAGTAAATAGTGATCCATTGCTTGAAATCGTGATTTAAAAACGTGATTCTTTTAGATTGTGAAGGAAGCAGAGTAAAAAGTGATCTTTTTTCCTGAAATTGGTGTACAAAAGTGGTCCAAAAATCCAAGTTACAAGTTTAGAACATTACACCGTCGACCTTTTGTCCTCTATGTGTGCAAAGTCACAAATGTCCTGAGTTCTTTTTTTTCACCCTCTCCCCTCAGGCAAGGGTTCACTTGGGTCACAATTCTGGACTCCGCCACGAGTCCATGAGTCCGTATATCTTCGGCGAGCGCCAGGGCACAGACATCATCGACCTTGAGCAAACTCTGCCGCTTCTCCAGCACGCGCTGGACGTGTGCGCCCACATCGTGTACCGCGGCGGGATGGTGCTCTTCCTGTCTCGTAACCAGCAGACGCTGCCGTGGGTGGAGCGCATGGCGCAGGAGGTGGGGGAGTACTCGCACTGCCGCCCGTGGAAGAGAGGTGAGTCCACAGAGGAATAAAATACAGAAGATTCCTGACCATAGACTCAATGTTATATTTGCTAATCATCATCAGTGCCTTTTTCACCCTGCACCAGGGTATAGGCCGGGACACTTTCCAACCTTCTCTATTTTGGGTTACCCTCTTGATGTTATTCCATGTCTTCCCACTTTTCTGTACATCAGTTTTTGTGATTCTTCTCCAGGTTCTACGCAGTCTTCCCCTTGACCTTTTACCCTATAGAGGAAGAGAATACAGAAAATTCCTGACCTCAGACTCGATGTTTTATTTGCTAATGCTCAAAAATATATTTTGCCATCCTCACCTGTCCTTTCATAATTAGTAATTAACTAGCTTGGCCCCCTTTCGATGAAAGGGATAATCGGTACATTAACATCAACTGAAAGTCATTGTCCTACTACTTCGACCTTTGCGAGCGCGAGGGGTTCCAACTTCAGAACATCGTTTTTTGTTCTGCATGGTCAGGCGCTATCTAGATCTAGTATCATCTAGATGTAGATTCTAATCTAAGACCTGTCGACTTTGTTCCATGTAACAAGAAAAAGAATTTCATAAAGGAGTCCAGAAAAAGAGATGATGGGCATCAAACGAAAGGGTCACAGTCGAATTTAGCACCAAGTAAAAAAAGAAAACAGAGGCTAGATCTACACGGGTCACACACTTAAAATAGTGCTCAGTATTGCGCGACAATGCATGATAGTTTCGAACGGAAGTACGACTTGAAATAAACAAACTTGTTAGATTTTCTAAAATTACAAAGACAGAAGCGTCGGCCTACAAAAGAGATTGGCGATATTTTAAAAAATTAGCTTTTTGCAGCAAAACAGTCTCAAAACTGAAAGAACGAAGAACGTCACGATCTGGAGAATATTTTAAAGAATCTTTTGGCGAAAACCGCATGTCGATCGATGCAGCCATTAAAAAGCCTTTTGAAAAGCAAAATTCGACAACCAGAAATAGATAATAGAAACCAGCGAACAAAATATAAAAAAATTACTTAGATGACTTGAATTGTGCCCCCCTCCCCCCCCCCCCAAAATGAGAAAAAGAAAAAAAAATACTATACAATGCAGCAGCAAACAAAAACAATGAAAATTGAAACATCTAGGTTTCTTCCTTACTTGAGTAATTACCTGAGTACTAGCCCTTACTTGAGTAAGTGCCTGAATACTCTGAGGTTTTTTACTCGAGCACTTACACACCCAACCATATAGCTACATACTCTGATTTAGGTTAAACTGTTAGAGCTGTAAGAGGCCTTGTAGTTTGAGAAAGACAAGAAACCTCGGTGACTGAAATGTTCTTGTGTTGAGGTTTCTCTCTGACCTTTTTCATGATAAAAAAAAAATTTAATTTGAAGGTTTGTTTGTTGTATTATTGACTGTGATCTTTGCACGCGACCACTGAACTTAGTTCCCCAACAAGCTGTGTGTCCTCCTTGCTCCTCCTGTACTGTCACTTTCAACGATGTTGTGTTCTGACGATGTAGTTGGGAAGTAATGGAGGAAATCTTTTTTTTCTTCTGTATCCGTTGCCCTGGTTGATCTGTGGGTCCTCAATTTAAAAAGTCATGAAATAGCTTACACTATAAATAGTGTTAAAAAAGCAGCATAAACTAACATTTGTGTCTTGTTTTGTCTTTTAAATCAGAACATTTTTGTTTCACAAGTTGAATTTCAAATTAAAAAATAATTACATGATTAGAGCACGACATCATGTATACAATAATTAGAATATCTTCAATGTCTTTTTTTCCCTCTTGCTAAAGGTCTCTCCAAAAATCCAAAGATTATTTGGTCGTAGCACACGTGCATATTATAGCAAACAGATTTTCAGGTCCCAAATTTTTTTCTTTTACATGTATATTCTGTGTATTTAAAACGCATGCATTGTGAAATTCATGTATGTATCAAAAAGATTCCCGAGTCAGGCCAATTTAGCTACATGCCTCCTGCTAGACCGTAAACATAATTTCTGCCCCTCTATTGTCTTATCCTTTCAGGTATCTTCACCAACGCGTCCAGCATTTTCAGCACGCTGCCGATCTACCCGGAGCTGTGCGTGTTCCTGGGCACGCAGGACACGGTGTTTGAGATGCACCTGGGCATCGTGGAGTCCTCCAAGCTGCTCATCCCCTCCATCGGGGTTGTCGACTCGAACTGCGACAACAGCGACCTCACCTACCACGTCCCCGGCAACGACGACACGCCGGCGGCCATACACCTCTACCTGCGGCTGTTTAGGGAGGCGGTGACGCGGGCCAAGGCCAAGCGGAAAGAAGACGGGTTGAGCCTCGATCCAGTGGCGTATGATGAGAGTTGAGAGTGTTACAACTTACAACGTGTGTGAATGGGCAAGGATTGGTAGCAAATGTATAAATGATTAGTGTTCATGTGTGTGTTACAGGAGAGTGAATGGGTGTAGTGAGTTTGTAAATAATTACTTGTCGTTCGTCATGAATGTGTGGGTTTTTTTTTATAGTAGAGGGTTTTACGGCGCTGGCAACTGCATGAAGTCATATGAGCGCCAAGGGGTGGGTGTCAACAGAGAAGTCTTTACAGGGAATCAGACTTAGACTGCTCACCTCTCTAGCTTCAACAGCACAAGGTCTGCTTCGACTATCAAGGCACCCCAAAATAGCAGGTCACAAGAGAGTGACAAACATACAAAAGAAGTAGAGGAAAATGACAATAGTAAGGATCAACAAAGAAAAAGCAGCAGTTCCCTGTTGTAGATCAGGCACAGTTGTGAGCGTGACATGAATCAGCCCATTTACAATTCAACTGTGCATGAACAAGAAATGTCCCCCCTTTGGGAATGGCCTAAAGACACTTCAGTCAGTGGCACTGCCTCGAGGGGTATGAATGTGTTGTGGGGGATCGCTTCATAGATGATGACAAATGTGTTAATACTTAGTTGTGGTGAATGCATTGTGGGTGATAGCAAATGTGTGAATAATTAGTGGTCATGTATGTGCTACAGGAGAATGAATGCGTGACGGTGAAGTGAGTTTGTAAACGATTAGTGGTCTTGAATGTGTTGTTGGTGGATGCATCATAGGTGAAGACGAATGTGTGAATGCTTTGTTGCCGTGAACATGTTAGGGGTAATAGCAAATGTGCTGGCTTGTGTGTGTGGATACTTATTTGTTCTGAATTTGTAATTGGTGAATGCTCTGTTGTGAAAAGCATTTGAATTTGTCTAGGGAGAAGCACATTGACACAGTCACGATAATTTAGTGCGGGATTAAAATAAGGTATGCGTACAGGTACAGCAAAGAGAAAGAAAAGAAGAAGGACCTACCTGTGGGGCATTCCAGTTCTGCAATTCTTTTTCAAACAACATAAGAATTATTATATGCTTTAATGTTAAAAGTCAAAAACATACTTTTACTTTGAAAGAAATGCAGAAGCCAGTGCATGTCTAATTTTTATTTCCAGACTGGGAGTTCAGTTTATAGATTCTGTCAGTGTCAGGCTCCAGTGCTAGTATGTCTGAGAGGTCAAGGAGCTTTGTCATCATTCAGACACATCTCACTGTGACACTGTTTGTTTGGAAGGTTTCTGTTTGATACAGTGTTTGAGTCTCTCATTTTTTGCCATCTCATGTCTTGTGTGGTTTACAGTAGTTGTGTTTGTAAATAATAATTTTGAAATAAAACTAAAGGAATACAAAAATTCGTTTTGTTACTTCTGTTGGGGAAACTGTTAGTTGTTTTTGTTTGTGTGCATGTATTTTCTTTTACCAACATAGTTTTGTTCTTGATCCCTTTGACTGATAAATTTTAGAAAGTGATTGATCCAGTCACTTCTTTCTCTATTCAAGCACCCTTTTTAGTCTACAGAGAAGAACACCATGTTCTGATAGAAAGATGGAATCATTTGCTTGGTTTGTTAATGGTGCTATGCTCTAACCATGTTACTGGTTTATTGAACATTTTTCAACATGCAAAGAAAACCTGCCCTTCGTAATCCGTGGGCCGGGGCCTTATTTATACAAATAGGACCTCAGTTCCGTCTGCAGGAAATGAAATCCCCCTCCGATGACGAGATGTGGCACACGAACCCTAATCTCCTGGAATCTCTGTGCAACATCTTTTTTCGTATATCATCTTCGTCTCTTTCCTTCTTACTCCCTCCTTTTATCTTCCTTTCCATCTTCTGACCTCATTTTCAGCAAAACTGAAGTCCCCAATCTCATAGTGTAGGCGTTTTGTTGACTGGAAAGTGCAACCAATGTAGAGAGAAACTACATGTACTTACCTGGTGGTTTAGTTTAGACGAGATGAGCATGCGGACTGTCCCTTGCTTATACACCTCTTTGGACCACGTTCTCCTCTTTTATAGGAGGGTAGCACAACCTTTGCCACTCAATCCATCGTTGGGAGTTGAAACCTCTTCAGTCTGTCCATGGGTCAATCTTGATGGGAGGGTTAATTATACTCTCATGGAGAATATAACTCCGGAGCAGCGCTGGCACAGCTCTGGGCGTCGTGGGATTGGTGGCGGAGTTCAACAAAACGCTCGTGGAAACTTTAAAAATACTACTGACCCTTCCAACGTTCATAATATTATGTCTTAGCACGTGAGAGTGGGTGCGGCCGCCGAGCCGAAAAAACCCATCCCAATAAAGTAAACGGAACTTAACAACAGCACCCACCCTCCCTCCCTCCTCCCTGAAAGCTTCTAGCGAGTATTTACTTCAACATCTCCTGCATGAACGTGCAGAAAAGAATTATAGATCTAAATCTCTTCATCAAGACCAGAGATGTGCTACAGCTAAGACATACACTGGGGGGATACATCCCCACAAATGTTCTGAGGCTGTCTCACTGTCGACAACAGAGCCACAGACAAGACTGAAAATTGCATACTACCAAAAAGCTCGAAATGAGACACGCAGGTGCCTTAGAGAAAACAAAAGACATTTTTTCACGAAATTTCATGAACCACATCTCCAACATAAACAGCGAGACGCAGACACCCATCAGTGGGTGGTTGGCGGGTGCTCTGGTGTGTTTTGCTATTTCTTTCCTATCAAACATCTATCGTCCTTATCTCGCCTTCTTCTTTTTTGTGTTTGTTACTCTCTTACAACACCTCTAATCTTCGGCACTTTAATGACCTTATTGTGTTGCCAGTGCCGTAAAACTCTCACTAAAACTTAAAAAAAGACTCCCACCTTCAAAGATTTTAAAGTTAGCAGTATTTAGGAAGACACTCAGCAGACACCATCTAGCTCGTAAAGAGGTCGGATAGCACCCCAACAGAAACACAGATCCATATTGAAAACACCATAAACGACATATTTCGCTAAATTCATCAAAACAAACTAGATCTACAACACCTTCCAAAATAAATTTTAAAAACCCCAGCCACGAACAACACCTAAACTTCAACTTCAACTCAAACAACACAGAAACAGGGGTGCTGCACAGAAGAGAGAGAGAGAGAGAGAGAGAGAGAGAGAGAGAGAGAGAGAGAGAGAGAGAGAGAGAGAGAGAGAGAGAGAGAGAGAGAGAGAGAGCGACCCACATCCTCCATGTTTTTACTTCCCGGCTCTCGCTGCATCTGTCTGATACCTCTCGTTACATAAGTCACCGACCGCTTTTCCGATTATCTGCCTGCTTTATACATCACTCGTCGTGTGTGTGTGTATGTGTGTATGTGTGTGTGTGTGTGTGTGTGTGT